TGCGCTGAGTGCTCCCCGTACGCTGGTGTCCTCCTCACAGCTCTGGGAGGTGGGCACTGTCATTGCCCACCATTAAGGAGGAAGAAATTATGGACCACAGACTGACTAACCCAAGACCTTACAGCTGGTGAGTGGCAGTCCTGGGATCTTTACCCAGACGGTCTGGCTGTTTCCGGTAGGCAGCCCCTGTTGTCTCCGAGCGCTGGGCCTTGGCCAGAGGCTGTCCCAGGTGGCTCTGCCCAGGGACTCCTTCCTGGCACTGCCATGTTGTTATAACCTTCTCCAGGGCCCGGAGGAGCTCAGGGCTGGCATTTCCAGGCCCTCTTGGACCTGCTACCTCCCAGGCTGGCATGCAAAGACTCCCTGAGGCCCGGGGAGAGGGTGTGTCCGAGTGGCTCAGAGATTGCCAGGGAAAGCTGCTGCCAAGCAGGGCTTTGACCCCAGGCTACCTGCGGAGAGTCTCCCACCGACCCCAGGCCTGCCGTCCCCCTCTTCTTTATTCCACACTGAACCGGCGGAGTTTTGATACAGCCCTGGGCTCAGATGTCAGAAACCGGACTTCAGTCCTGGGCCTGCTTCCCAGTTAGCTGTGTGCCCTTGCACACGTATCTGTGTCTCTGCACCTTGCTTTTTCCCATCTCTGAATTGGGAGTGAGAGGAACGATGCTACGTTTTGCACCCTGGCCGTGCAGCAGGCCTTGGATCGCAGATGAGCTGGGCACTTGCTTGTGCATCAGAAGGCTGAGCGATGATGAGGCGTGGTTGTCGCTGTTCCTGTCCTTGACTCAACACTGCCAGCTTCCTGGTGATCTCCACCCTAGCTGATATTCCTTCCTCTGCTGCCACACGACACAAGACCCCCGGCACTTCCCTGAAGGCTTTCCCAGGCTCCTGGGTCACGTCCCAGGGGGCTAGGTCTGTACCTGGAGAAGGTTCTGAGGACCCAGTTTAATGTTGCCTCCCCGCCCTGTGACGACCCGACCGCTCTGGTGTGGTTTAGTATGGCTTTTCTGGAAGGATGGCCTGCCTGGGGAAAAGAGCCAGGCCACGAGTGCTCAGTGCGTGTTGGGTTTTCCCAAAACAGCTACGTCAGCAACCATTGTAGCCAAAGAAACAGAGGCTGCCAGCCCATTTTATGTCCCCTCCCGTCACTCCCACCTCCTTTCTCTCATGTCTGATTTTATAAAGATTTATTTAATTGTTTGAAAGTTACAAAGAGAGAGGAAGAGACAGAGAGAGAGAGAGAGAGAGGGAGAGGGAGAGGGAGAGCGAGAGAGAGATCTTCTGGTTTGCTCCTCAAATGGCCACAGCCAGCAGAAGCCTGGAACTCCATGACAAGTGGGTGGCAGGGGCCCAAGCACTTGGGCTATCCTCTGCTGCTTTCCAGGCACATTATCAAGGAGCTGGATCAGAAGTAGAGTAGCTAGACCTTGAACTGATGCTCTTATGGGATTATGGTGTCACTGGCAGTGGCTATACCACAATGCTGCCCCCTCCCCCCATGGCTCATCTCTGTGTTGGCAGAGCCCAGCACAAAGCCTTGTCAAGAGGCTGAATAAGGGCTGCTGCTGTGGCACAGCAGGTTAAGTGACCACTTGCAGAGCTAGCATCCCATATAGGCGCCGGTTTGCATCCCAGCTGCTCCATTTCTGATTCAGCTCCCTGTTAATGCACCTAGGAAAGCAGCAGAAGGTGATCCAAGTGCCTTAGGCCCCTGCCATCCATGTAGGAGACACAGATGAAGCTTCTGTTGCCAGCCTGGCCTAGGCTCAGTAGTTTCAGACTTCAGGGAGCAAAATTAGTGGTTGGAAGATCTCTCTCCTCCTCTTCCTCTCTCTCTGTAACTTCACCTGTCAAATAAATGAGTGAATCTTAAAAAGAGAGAGAGGCTGTGGGCTGGCACTATCGTGTAACAGGTAAAGCCACCGCCTGCAGTGCCGGCATCCCGTATGGGCACCAGTTCGAGTACTGGCTGCTCCACTTCTGATCCAGCTCTCTGCTATGGCCTGGGAAAGCAGTGGAAGATGGCCCCAAGTCCTTGGGCCCTTGCACTTGTGTGGGAGACCTGGAAGAAGCTCCTGGTGCCTGGCTTCGGATCGGAGCAGCTCCGGCTGTTGCGGCTATCTGGGGAGTGAACCAGCAGATGGAAGACCTTTCTCTCTCTCTCTCTCTTTCTCTGCCTCTGCTTCTCTGTAACTCTTTCCAATAGATAAATAAAATATTTTTTAAAAGAGAGAGAGAGAGAGTTAGAGGCTCCATAAATATTTGGTAAATTGAACCAAATCCCCTGAAATCATTCTGTGACCTTGAGCTGTCACTTTGACTTTCTTGGCCTTAATCTGCTCTTCTGTACAACAAGGACAGCATTTCATTAGCTTCACTAGTTCTTAACCTTAGTTACATGTTAGAGCTTTTATAAAAATATTCATGGCTGGCACTACCCAGAGCAATGGAATCTAAATCTCCAAAGGTGCTATTTTTAAAGAAAACATTTATGTATGTATGTATGTGTGTGTGTGTGTGAGAGAGAGAGAGAGAGAGAGAGAGAGAGCGAGCTAGCTTTTCTATCTGCTGGTTCACTCCCCAAATGTCTGCAGCAGTCAGGGCTGGGCCAGACCAAGGCAAGGAGTCAGGGACCTCATCCTAGTCTCCCACATGGGTGGCAGGGGCTCAAGCCCTTGGGCCATTCTCTACTGCTTTCCCAGATGCGTTAACAGGGAGCCGAGTCATAAGTGGAGCAGCTGGGACTTGAACTGGCACGCTGATAAGGGCTGCTGCTGCCACAAGCGGAGGCTTAACATGCTGTGCCACAACACCAGCCCTAGGCAATGGTGTGTGTGTGTGTATATATATATATTTAAATATTTTATTTATTTATTTGAAAGGCAGAGTTATAGAGAGGGAGGGAAGGAGAGAGAGAGAGAGAGAGAGAGAGAGAAATCTTTCATCCATGGATTCACTCCTCAGATGGCTGCAACAGCTGGAGCTGGGTCAATCCGAAGCCAGGAGCCAGGAGCTTCCTCCAGGTCTTCCATGCGGGTGCAGGGGCCCAAGGATTTGGGCTATATTCTACCGATTTCCCAGGCCATAGCAGAGAGCCAGATCGGAAGTGGAGAAGCCAGGACTCAAACTGGCACCCATATGGGATGCTGGCACTGCAGACTGGGGCTTTAACCCGCTGAGCCACAGTGCTGGTTCCGACAATAGTGTTTTTAAAAATCTTTCCGGGTGGGCCCTGGGCACAGCTGCTGTGTGGGATGCCTGCTTTCCATGTCGCAGAACCTAGGTTCATGTTTTAACTCTGTTCTCCATTCCAGTTTTCTGCTGATGCACACCCTGGCAGGCAGCGGGTCATGGCTCAAGTGGCTGGGTGCCTGCCACCTGAATGGATTGAGTTCCCAGTGCCTGGCTTCAGCCTGGCCCAGCCCTGGCTGATGTGGGCATTTGGGGAGTGAACCAACAAGTGGGAGATCTTTCTCTGTGTCTCTGCTTTTTAAATACATAAAATGAATGCATTTAAAAAAAAAAAAAAAGCTTTGCAATGATTCCATTGTACAGTCACGATCTCTTGAACAAACCCCATAGATTCAAATCTCGGTCCCGCTACTGCCAGGGTTGAGTTGCGTCCTTCACAAAAGAATCCAAAGTTCTAACCTCCAGCGCCTGCAGACATGGCCTCATTGGGATAAGGTCTTTGAAGATGATAAAGTTAAAGTGAAGTTCCTAGGGTGGATGCCTCATCCCACCCGGCCAGTGTCATCGCGAAAAGGGAAATCTGGCCGAGACAGAGCGCAGGAAGAGCTCCGGCGAAGACGGGAGGTATGCTGCCACAACCGCGACCCAGAGGCTGCCAGCAGCCAGAAGGCAGCAGGGAGGCACGGAATAGTCCTCGCAGCCCTCAGCGGAAGCCATCCCTGACTCATTTCCCACCTCGAGGCTCCTGTCGCTACAACCCACTTTGCAGTGCCTTGTGGGGCATCCCTGGCAAACCAAGACAACCAACCATCCGGGCGCTAGCTGAGGAGCTGTTTCCGTGTCTGTAAAACTGTCAGGGTGTGAGCAGAACACCTTACCTGGATCATCTCATTTAAGCATCCGCGTATTTCCTCTGATACATGCGCTACCACCTCCACGTTACAGGTGAGAAAGGCAGGATACCGGGAGGTGAAGTACCTTGCTCAAGGTCACGTGTTAACTAAATACGGAAGAGAAAAGCGCATCTTCTATAGGAGCACGGGGAGGCTTTCATGAACCTGCAGATGTGACAGAACCTTGTAAGTAGTACAGTATTATACCCGTGTTAGACTCTTGGGACTTTGATTCTGGACTTTGCTTTTTTTTTATTTTTTTATTTTTTTTGCCATCTCTGAGTCTCCTTCCTTTTCCTACGCGATACTTCCTTCCCTTGGCGACAGGGGCCGCTGCACCGCGCGGGCGCTGACAGGTCCCTCTAGGCCGCTGCACCGGCTGCTCGCTGGTGCCTATAAGTGGCAGCGCCGGGCTCAGCGAGGCATCAGTCTGCCGCTGCCGAGGGGCTGGCATCTGGCCTGGATGTAGCATTGGAGCTGGCCGCGCGGGAGCTGCAGCTGGGCCGGGGCGCGCAGCGCTGCGCCGCGCCGGGGCCGCACCGACGGGCGTGTTGCTGCTGGCCCACCGGGAGCCGCCCCCCGCCCGCGTCGAGGCGCCTTCCCTCCAGGCCGCCTGCCTCCGCCTTCCGCCTCCCTCCATTTCCCCGGAATCTCGGCCGGACGCGCCCGGACCCCGGCCCTTCTCTGCAGGGGGAAGCTCCGGGCTGCCTTCCGGCCTCACTTCCTCACAGCCCGGCCCGCCACCCCCAGCCCTCTCTTTTTCTCCTTCCTGGACCGGCTTCGGTCCCCTCCCTCTGGCTCAGGCTCCCTCCCCCTTCCCCTAGCCGAGTCCCAGGTCCTCAGTCAGTTTCCTGAGCCGGAGGTGCCAGCCTGCCTTCTTTCCCTCCCCCGGGCTCCCCCCATCCCGTCCCTTGCTCTGTCCCTAGGGCGCGCTCTTCTGCCTCTCTGCCTCTCCCAGGTCTGCAGCTCCGGACCTTTTGGTCTCCTTCCGTGGTCCTTTCTGGGTCCCTGTCCCTTTCCCCAGTTTGGAGTTGCAGATCAGGAAGCCAGACTCCCTCCACCCCCAGAGGACTGCTCCTACAAAACTTGACTCTATAACATGAACTCCTCCTAGGGACCAGCCCTGTCCCCTCCCTCCCCCTCCCCCTGCTCCCTATGTCCCAGGTCTCACTCTCACTTCGCTAAGGGTCTCGGCCTGCTGGGCGGAGGGCGCAGCGCCATGCTTCTGTGGTCAGCTGTCCGTGGCCTCTCTCCACCTCGGATCGTCCCCTCCTTGCTGGTGGTGGTGGCCTTGGCGGGGCTGCTCCCTGGCCTCAGGAGCCATGGGCTCCAGCTCAGCCCCACTGACAGCACCACCCCAGACTCGCAGCCTTCACGGGAACGCTCCATTGGGGATGTCACCACCGCTCCACCGGAAGTCACCCCCGAGAGCCGCCCCGTGAACCGTTCGGTCACTGAACATGGCATGAAGCCGCGGAAGGCCTTTCCGGTCCTGGGCATTGACTACACACACGTGCGCACCCCTTTTGAGATCTCCCTCTGGATCCTGCTGGCCTGCCTCATGAAGATAGGTAAGTCCGGTCCGCTCTGACCCCGCCGCCACCGGCCTGGTGAGCTTCTGTCCCATCCCTAGCCATTTGAGGCTGCCCGGGAGTTGACATCTGAGCCACTCCTGTAATGCAGGCAGCCTCCGTCCTGCCGCCTGGGTCCTTGTCAAACACCACCTTCCATGGTGGCCTCCGTGGTCTGAGGCCTCCCAAGACCGGAGCCAGCACCGTGCATGGGGACAGGGGGAGAGCAGGATTCGAGAACGAGATGCGTCTGACACTAAGTACCTTCGGCAAGGCTTCTGGGCCTGGCGGGTCTCTGGCTGGGCCAGGCCCAGGGGAAGCCAGGCTACCAGGCATGTGGCACTTTCTGTTCTGTCAACAGCACCCAGCACGATTTATGCCACGCCTCACGGGAGGGCGTGCCTGGACGGAGGATGGTTCTGCTTGGCCTGCCTGAGGAGCCTGTGTGTCGGGGGCACCTGGGCGCAGGAGGCTTACAAGTGTAGTAGAACGCGAGGGCGCATCGACTGCCTTCCTGCCCGGAATGTTACCTGTGAGCGCTGCCTGCCTGGGCTGGTTAGCAGAGCCTGAGTCAGCTTCTGGCCCAGAAGTGCCACCCGCCAGATAGTTTATGGGGCAGCGGGCCCTGGGCTTTTCTGAAGTCCGTTTTGGGGGTGGGGAGTGTGGGGAGGGTTGAGGCTTGGTCACATCCCAGCTTACCCCTTGGTGGTTACCTGGCTGCATCGCCAGGTGCCGGCCCCGGGGGAGAGCTCCAGGGAGGGGCTGGGAGTGTTCTGGTCTGAAGACCGAAATGTTCTTTCTGGGAGAAGGAGACAGGTTGTTTCCTTCCAGAGGTTGGCTCCCTGCTGGGCCTGAGCACCCTGTTCTGCCTGGGGAGAGTGGTAAAGCTCCCAGGGCCTGCGTAGCCCAGAGGTCCCCGGAAGTGGTGGCGGGGGTGGGGCTTTGGCAGTTGCTCTGATTTTCGGCCTGCCCCCAGCCAGGTGTGGAGGACTCAAGGCCTGGGACCCTGCTCCCCTCTTTGCCTGAGGCTTGGGTTTGGGGAGTTGGTGGTTCTTGGCAGGAAGCCTTGCAGTTTTCCCAAGGACATGCAGGAGCCAAGTGAGTGGTGATGCCGGCCGGTGTGGGGCCGGCTCTGGGACTTGCTGCAGGGAGGAACTGGAGCCTGGGTTTTGATAGATCCAGGAGCCGGCTTCCTGGCACCCAGCTTTGGTACTGTGCCGGCCATCGTGGCAGGGCCTGGCCTGGGAGCTGGGCTGTCGGCACCTACACCCTGGTGACAGCCACCTTCCTGGAAGAAAATCAAGGACTGGGAAGGCGAACCATGTGTGCTGATTCAGACACAAGTGCATGACCTTGAGCAGCCAGGGCCTTTTTCCACGGGTCTCCCTCACCTGGGAAATGGGCAAGAGCCTCAGGGAGATTCGAGAATTCCAACTGAGTCACGAAAGCTCGGCTGCTGGTTGTGAGAAACCGAAGTGAACGTGATGTGTCATTTGCTTGTGAGGTTCCAGGAGAGAACTCGCAAGTGCTCCCTGCCTGTAAACGGCTTTCTCTCTCTGACCCCTCACTTCCCAGCCACACCTGGTACAGCATCAGGGCCCTGGGGGCTGGCGTACACGCTGCAGGTCTCAGGGCCCACTGGTGGATGACAGCATGACCACAAGATCCCACTCGGCTGTCAGAAGTTTGTCCCTGCAGGCCTGATAGCTCTGGTGCTGATGGCATCCGGCAGGGTCTGGCGTGTTTTGGCACCGTCACAGTGCTGTGCCCAGGACGCCAGGCAGCTGGACAGCAGAGATGGTGTCATGTCAGTGTAGAAGTCTGGAAACCTGGCTTCTCACCCAGACTCCTGCCGGAGTGACCTTGGGCTGGTTACGGCTCTCCCCGGTCCAGGTCTGACATCTCTGCCATTGCACTGACTTGGGAAACCCTCGGCCTCAGCTGCCCCTCTGCGTGTGATCTGTGCAGTTCCAAATGCCTGTGCATGTCCTGGGCTTGAAAGGTAATTTTCTGTCTGCAAACAGAGGAGTCCTAGTGTCTGGCCGTCCTGGGGAAGAGTGGAGAGACAGGTGGCCAGGGACCTGAAGGTCCCCGTTCAGGTGGCAGAAGTGAATGCTTCGTTTTTCCCCTTCACCTTTGCGGTGCAGAGTTAGGCGGCCACTCTCAGCCTCAGTTTCCTCGTGTAACAAACGGGGATAATAGCATCTAGCGTTGGTCTATCAGTGTGATGGTGGATGATTTAAACGAAAGCACTGCCTGTACACACGGGAAGTGCCGGGTGAGTTACACTTGTCCCTGTTGTGGTTCTAAGCACCTGAGGCAAATGCATTCCTCTTGCCTGAGTCCCCTACAGTGCTGGGGGCTGGAGGATCCCAAATCCCCCTCTGCTCTGTGTTAGGGGTTCAGGGCTTATGGTGTGGCCCCGGACTTCTTCCTTTCACTTGAGTCGCCTCTGGGCTTTGGGGAAGGGAGGGACACCAGATGCCTTGGGGGATGGAGTGGGGAGCCCAGGCGGTGCTCCCTCTGTACTCCGATGCCTGGCAGCCTACTTTGGGGTTCTGCCTGTTCTCTCGACTCCCCAGCGTGTGCAGGAGTTTTGTGGGCACCCTCAGTCCATCTCCTGTGGCAGCTGCTTCCTTTGCAAGGTACCCCTCGTTTCAGAAAGGAAGGAGTGTGTGCACTTCCGCTTCCCTTCCTGCCTGCCGAGCAGAGGGAGGGGCAGGCTGGGAGTTGTGGATGCTCTGCCCTCTCGCCTCTGATTCAGTGGGCAACACTGGACACTCACTTCCCTTCTCTGGGTTGTTTTGCCTGTTCCTAGTGGGGAGAGACCAGAGGAGTGAGGGGACTTAGACCCTGGGAGAGCTGTGAGCGTGACCCCGAACCTTAGGGGAGGGCCGCCCCCATGCTCCCACCCCACCTGCCCGAATTCTGTTGTGTTCCCAGTGCACCTGACACCTGGGCCAGGGCTCACTCTTGGGGAGAAGTTCACTGTACCCCAGCTCACCCCGGCAGCCCCCGTGGTGTTTGCCGAAGTCCCTCCCCTGGAACACCAGGCAGAGGCCGGGAGCTCATAACGCAGGTATTCATCTTGTCTCCTGAGCTGGGATAAAGAAGCCTGCTTTTGTCCCTTTGTGTCTTAGAGCTGGTTTGGGCTTGGTCTTTGCAAGGCGTATCCTCCCCTTCCTCCCTAGCACAGGCCTATGAGGACTGGCGAGGGGGTCGTGGTTGCCCCCTTCACATGCAGCCTGTTTGACCGAGCAACTGGTTTCCTGTAAAAATGAGACCACAACTTGCCTCTCCCGTTGCTCAAAAGATGAGAGGAACAAACAGCTTAAAGGTCACCTTGAAACTGTTTCAAGAAGCCCAGATGGGACTCTTGAAAAAGAAAGAGGCGACCTTTTTCTCTTTGGGAGAACAGCTGACTGACTGCAGGTCAGCGGGAGGGAGGTCAGCAGGGGCTATAGGAAGGCATCGGGTGGGACGCAGGCCTCCAGGTGCGGGAGCGCCAGGGCACTTTGGGGGCCTGGCGTGGTCAGCTTGGCCAGATTTCATTCAGCTCACACCTCCAAGGCTCGCCCGTCCTCTCCTTCCCCCCAAGCCTGTCCCATCCAGCTCTGGTGTAACGGAAGGCAGCCCTGGGCTCTGCCCACGCCGCTGCCTGTGGTCCACGGACCTTGTGTGTGACCACGGACCTTGGGCTTCGTGTCCCTCGTCTCTCAGCCTGACTTGCTCCGTCAGTAAGGCGGAGACGCTGTTGTACCTTCTGAGACCCGGGAAGAGCTTGACCATGCCCAGCTCACTGTAGTGGTTTGCAGGCGCCTTCGGATTTGGGGGTGGGGGTGGGGGGACGTCCCAGCCCTCAGCAGTAGCTCTCCTTTTCCCGCCGGGAACCCTCTTCCCTTATTGTCCACGCGCAGCTTTGGCAGTAGGCCTAGTCTGCCCTGTGACATCTCCTCTGGACTGGGCTGGGGGAGTGTGGTTTGTTTGTTTGTTTGGTTTTCAATAATAATGACCATTTATTGAGTATCTACAGAGTAGTGTCAGGCACTTTATAAAATAATCTCATTTAATCCGCACTAAAGTCCTATGAGATAGAGGCTGTCTGTCTGCAGACGAGGACACGGTGCAGGGGTGCGCTTTGGCGCTGTGGGGCGGCTGCTGATTTTCTTGGCAGAGCCTGCTTGAGGGGTGCAGCTGCATCTGCTGCCCCCCTCGCTGCCCTCAGCAGATGTGCGGTCCTGCACGGAGCAGTGCCCTGCTCTGCACCTGTGCGTGGCAACTGTGGGACTCCCGCTAGGGGGAGGGCACGTGTTGATGGTGGGAGTCTTCTCCCTGCTCTGAATAAGCCGGAGGTTTTGTGTGCCTGGCTTTGGGCCTGTCCTCTGTCCCTGGGTCGCATGGGTGCCCCCAAATCCCAGCCACACTGGGTCTGTTCCTCATTCTCTGATAGTGGCCCTGCCTGCTGTCTCTCTCCTGGTGCCCTTTCCATGGCCGGACCGGAGCTTGCTTCTTCCTGGCTTGAGCAGGGCAGTGCCGGTTAGAGGGCATCTCATGAAGCCAGCCATGAGCGGCTAACCTTGTGCCCCTGCCCTTCTGTTTTGGAGCAGATAGGGTGTTGAGCTGCTCCTGGCTGCCTCTGGGGGCCAGCGGCATCCCCTGAGAGGCAGCCTCTGGGCTGGGAGCAGGTGGCGTGGCTTTCTTTAGGCCTTCAAGGCAGGAGTTTTGTAGTGATTCTCATTAGTGCTGTTGCTTGTTTCCACTGCACTTGCTTGTACAGTGTTTGTTTTGATCTCAGTGGTCCTGTGGGTTCGAATAGCAGGTGGTGCTGATGTACCCATTTTACATGTAAGTAGACCGAGTCTTGGGTTGTGACCTGCCACTGCAGTAAGTGCCAGAGGGCGCACTCCCTGGACCCAAGGCCCCGTCCTCCTTCCCACGTTATTGTAAGGTTCGGGGGAAGGAGAGACTCAGAGGGACCCAGGAGAGTGAGCAGACCTACA